GCTATATCTTTTGATAGCCGGGCACCATCAGCTTTCTCCACCACACTTGCTTATTCATGTATAATTATTCTTGATCGAATTTAATTCTGGATTGTTATATCTGCAAAAGCTTCCAATAAAATGATTAAGGGGGAAAAAGGATTTTTTATCCCTTTGCTGACCACCCCAAACTGCTCAAACAGCAAATAGAAACGAAGACGAAATTATTGCTAACGGCACAATATTTCATAGGCTCCTGTAGAGCTCTGTGAGTAGGGCCTGGACACCAGGGTTTCGAACCATTTCCAGTTGGTTCAGTTATGGTCAATGGAACTAAGGGCAGTTCACTTATTGCATAGTCATCAAATCTGTCAGTTTTTAGCAACCAACTTTCCTGTGCAACAGGTGCCCTTTTGAGTGTTATGTGGGGCCAGCCACCATCTTTGAATAGGGCACTGCTGCCTGTGTGCTACTCTGTTCAAAACCTGACATTGCAACAGATCTGGTTGCTTTGCAACCTGTGCACTGCCCTCTTTCCATTGGCCATGCCTGCACCAGTTTGTACTGGTGTGAAGTCCCGGTGGGATAAGTGATACTCGTAAGGATGGCTATCAATAAGATGAAACAAATTGTGTATTGTTGAATAGAATAGGACTTTGCTCTAAAAGCCTTCACCCCATTTACAATTAAAAGTTAAAAAAAAAAAAGAGGGGTGACGTAGAAAACTCTGTGGGGTAGTGTTACCTTGTCATGTCGGGTCACTCACTGCTGGAATCGGCTTGACGGCACCCAACACCAACGCGTACTGTAACGTGAACGAGTGAAACCGAGACCTTTGAGCATGCCTTCCCGCTGACATGACACCTTGACCTTGCCGCTGAAGCTGCGTGTGCTTCCGCTTGTACCCCTTGCTTCTCTCCAGGGGGAACCCCACTGTCCTGAAAGCTGTGTTTGCCTTTCCGCTGCTTTGAAACAGCAATGACCACATATCCATATCTCCCCAAACAGTACAGTGTTTTACTGATAACTTCCTCTAAAATGGAAAAGTCTTTTTTTTTTTAGAATTAACTTGCTGTTTAATATAACACCCATACTTACTTTATGTTTTCACTCATACTTTAATATATAAAAAGACCAAGATCTATTTTTTTAAATCATTTTATCGGGGGCTCGTACAGCTCTTAGCATAATCCATTGTGTCAAGTACATTTGTACATTTGTTGCCATCATCATTCTCAAAGCATTTGCTTTCTACCAGAGCCCTTGGGATCAACTCCTCATTTTTCTCTCTCATTTTCCCATCCTCCCTCCCTCATGAACCTTTGATCATTTATAAATTATTGTTATTTTTTTATGAAAAGACTAAGATCTTATATGTTGCATTTTCTTAAAATCCAGAACATGGATTCATTCCTAATTTCCGCAGTAGTTTCACACTGCCGACTGAAAATAGAGCTATTTAGAAAGCACTCAAACTTTCAAATGAAGTTGACATTCACTTGCTTGCAGGACTCAAAGATTTCTCAGCTGTTCAGACAGTGTCCAAAGTGGTGGATGAAACTTTTCAATTGGCTTGTGCTTGTTCCAGGCTGCTGCACTGATAGACCCAGAGGCTGTGTTCGTCATTACTGGCCTCTGTGGTCTTCAGAGCCAATAAGCTTTTTCCTGCCCCGAGCCAGCATCATAACACACCACCCGGAGCATTAAATACAGAGCATGTCTATGTAGCACATCATACTGATCTGATGTGCACACCTTTATACCACTCTTGGAAACGCCCATAAGAAATTCTTCCTCCAGAGGAACAAAAGGCAGCTTTCCATCTTGCTGGGCAACATCGATATAATGTATAAGGTTTAGTGGTCCTTCCAGACTCCCCCTCAGACAGCTTCAGCTTCTTCACGGTACCGACATACTTTATTCGAGATCCTGCCTAGGTGTTTGAATGACTGCTGCATTGTCAGGAGCTCTTCATGAAGTCTGTGCCATGACTGGCCACAGTACTGGGTCATGACAGTCCCCCAGGACCACACTCTATAGACTTGCTCTTAGTACTGATTTCACGACTTTGGGAACTTCTACTACTGTGTCGTTTTTGCCTTTTGAAAACATTTTTCACCTTACCTTGAACCAAAGAAGCACGCCTCTCTGCCCTGAATTGACTGGGGCCAGCAGATCCCCTTGGGAGCCTCTATGTTGATTGGACTTTTTAAGGGCACTATGCCCAGCGCCACCCTTGGGGGACCTGGTTCTTGGTCTGAATAAGTCTTCTGGGACTCGTCTTTTTGACTTGGCCCAGTTTCCAGGGTCCGTCTCTACTGGGGCAGTGATGCCTCACTGACTCCACATGTAACAGTTTGTCCCCAGGGCCGGCTCTGGGGAGGATCCAGGGAGGACCTTGCTCAGAGCAGTGGGTGTGATGGAGCTTGCTTTGTAGCGAGATCATCCTGGTAGGCTTTGCTACCTTTTTAAATGTTGCTGTGCCGTGCTCCCAGGATGATCCCAAATCCTTGTGACAGCAGGTAGAACTGTCTCCCAGAGTGTTCTTGGCTGTAATCCCTGTGGAAACAAATCACCACATTTCTCCCCTGTGAAACTGCTGGGGGTGTAGCAGCTGAGCACCTAACCACATTTGCACCACCAGGGTACGTTGGTCTCCATATAAAACCTAACACCCTACAGACCTTCCTCCCTTTTCTTGTGACATAAGCGGATTCCTGCTTCTGCTGGGCTGTGTATCTCTCTAAATGAATCCCTAAATCAGTCCTCTAACATTGAGCTTTGTGGAGACAGTGGTAGTTCAGGGGTACACGTCTCACTTTCCACCCGGCTAGCCAGAGAGCGGCCACCACCCACCTGTCTGTCAGTGAAGGCTGGCTCGTGGCTTTGATGCTGAACAGATGCAGCAGAACTTACAGACGAAGACAGACTAGTAAGAAAGACTTGGTGGTCTCCTTTGGAAAATTAGCTGTTGAAAACCCTACAGAACACAGTGGTCCAATCACAGGGATGGTACCGGGCCAGGTGGCATTGTGTTCCATTGTGCTTAGAGGCACCATGGTGTAGGCTGACCCACAGCGGCTTATAACAACAGGGACCACTGCTGAGATTTATTGGTGGTCCTTTGTCTTCTGGGTATAAAATCATCAACAACATGCTCTCCCAATGTCTAATCCTGCATTCCTTCACCTATAAGATTTTGCTATGTACCTCATGCTGACCAGAGGTTGCAAATTGCCAGCCAGAGAGGGTGGTGGTGGTGTGTGTTTGTGTGTGTATGTGTCCCCATCCGTCCTCCCGATTGACCTTTAAATAACCTATCAGGTTCCTTAGGCCATCCTGCAAGCCTTTGCTCTGGGGTGGTGGGCAGGAGGGCCTGGGAATGAGAAGACCCGGCTTCCTTCTTGGGTATCACCCCGGTGTGTGAAATGTGGTTTCCTGAGGATTTGGGAGAGCTGCTTGCATGTCCTGTCTGAGGAAGCAGCTAGATTCTGCCCCACCTGCTCCCCACCAGTAACTTCACCGGATGGCAGGAGATCACACACCGATGCTCAGCCTCCCTGAGGCTCTACAGCTGTCCTGCCCCCTGCCCTGTGGGTGGGGTCCTTTTGCAAAGCCCTTCTCACCATTTCCCCCTCTCCCCACCTCTTTCAGCCTTGCATCATCAAGATTAAAGACTTTTTTGATGCGGAAGATTATTATATTGTTTTAGAATTGTAAGTAACAGACATTTATCTTTTCATTTCCTTTTAAATGTTTCTAAGCCACAAGTTGGAATGTGGTGGTGGTGGTGGGGAGGGGTGGGGGAAGGCATCTATAGACCGTGTAGAACAAGGGTTTGGGGTGCATGATCAGACATTCTAAAACCCCTTCATCATTCCTTAAGGCTGGTGACAATTGCTTGGGCCTGGGCCTGGAGTCAGGCCTGGGTTTGATGTTGCCATGGAAGAGCCTTGGTGAAGTGCTGGGCTGCCCAGAGAGGGGGTGGCCGGCCAAATCCCTTCAGGCACCTGTGTGACAGATAAATGGTGGTTCAGACCCACCCAATGGCTCTTGGGAAGAAAGAAAGATGGGGGGCTTTGCCCCTGTAAAGATGGCAGCCTTGGGACCGTTCTGCTCTGTCACATGAGCCCACTCACGGTGAGTCCAAATCTGCTCACTGGCACCCAGCAACAATCCATCTTTTCTCCCTGTGGGTGTATTTGCGTCACCCCTCTGAGCCCCACTTTCCTGGTGTTAAATGGGGATAAAGGTGGTCTCACCACAAGTGGGCTTGCTGCGTGAGTTGAATGCATGCAGCATGGAACCGCTCTGGCACAGTACTGGGCACACTGGTGCTCAGCCAGAGGGCAGTGTTGGTGCTCTAGCACTTGCTTCTGCAGACCTTTCCAAGGAACCTTGTAGCACAGTGGTTTCTGTGTTGGGCTGTAAACTGCGAAGTCCGCAGTTCGAGTCCTCCAGTCTTTCTGCAGTAGCAAGATGTGGCTGTCAGCGTCTACCCAGATCAGGCAGCCTCAGAAGCCCCAGGAGCCATTCTATTCTGCCCCATAGGGTTCCTAAGAGTCAGATTTGACTTGATGGCCATGGGTGGTGGTGATGGTGGTGGTATTGGTGCTGGTGCTGGTGCTGGTGCTGGTAGCTCTTTCTGCTCAGGATCAAAGTCCCAAAAGGCCCGGATATCTTTCAACATCTCTGTTTATTTTGATGGCTGTGAAGTCTTGTCTTGCTTGGTGTGACTCTAGAATGCTTTCCTGTCTCATGCCTGGAAGAGGCCCCTCTTGGTGGCCGTCCCTGTCATGGCCAAAAGGGGCCACTTAGCTCCTGCTTGTCAGGTGCTGGCTGTGCAGGTTGACC